CTGCCCGTTGTGCCAACGAACGAAGATATTCCCGAGACGCCCCGTAGGGACCTTGGTCCCGAATAGCGTGCCGACTTCGGGTATGGCAGCGCATATCAATTGATCTGATCGTTCAACTACCCGAATCCTCCGGGTACAACACAATTCTCGTAATCGCCGATCGACTGGGTAAAGGGATACGCGTACTCCCGTGCACGGGAAATATCTCCGGGGAAGGAGTCGCTCGACTGTACCGCGATCACGTCTGGAAAGATTACGGATTCCCAGAGGAAGTAACTAGCGACCGGGGCCAGCAGTTCATCGGGCATTTCATGAGCGACTTGAGCAAATTGCTGGGAATCAAGATTCGATCTTCATCGGCGTATCACCCACAGACGGACGGGCAAACAGAGCGTGCGAATATGGAGGTCGAGCAATACCTTGAACATTCTGCAACTTCCAGCAGAGCGACTGGTCCGACTGGCTCTCCCTAGCAGAGTTCGCGTTTAATGACAAGGTTAACTCTTCAACGGGATTCTCGCCCTTCTTCCTCACGCTGGGATTCCACCCGAGAAAGGGGTCCGAGGCCCCGCAAGACGTCCCGACCGAGGCCGCTACGGTGTTTGCCGAACGAATGAAGGAAGCCCGGGCCGATGCGGCCGAAGCTATGAAAGAAGCCCAGGAAACGATGAAGAAATACTACGACCGAAAGCACTCTCCGGACCCGAATTACGCCGAAGGGGACAAAGTTTACCTCCAGGGGACGAATTTGACCAGCGATCGACCCTCAAAAAAACTGGATGACAAGAGGTTCGGGCCGTTCAAGTTAAGCGCAAAGTGGGTAAAACATCCTATGAACTGGTGCTACCCCCAACTTGGCGCGTAAGCCCCGTATTCCACACGGCGCTATTACGACCCTGGAACCCCCCCGTAGCGGATCATCAACGGGCCGCCCCACCACCCCCGGCAGAAATGCGGGACGGCGAGCCTCACTACGGTTGAGGCCATTTCGCCGTGACGCAAGCAAGGACGACACCGCCTAAGGTACCTAATTCAGTGGAAAGGCTACCCTCGCGAAGAGTGGACGTGGGAATTGCGTGACAAGCTGGAGGGCGCAGAAGAGGCACTCGAGGACTTTTATACTCTCAACCCGTTCGCGCCCCGCGAAGAACTCGTAAATGGCCGATGGAAAATCCGAAAGCAAGACCAGGGGACGCGGACCCATAGGGCGTCGAGGCGCCGCCCACAACGGAGGGGGTGATGTCACGGTTCGGGTCGGGCCGTAAGGCCGCACGGGCCCGTATACCGTCGTCCTCCTGGACGCCCCCTCATTCTTCCAACCCCTTCCGTTCACCCCTACGACCCTACGCAGCGCCCATCCGATCCGCCCTGGGACCTGGCGCCCATCCGATCCATCCCTAATACCGTAGCGTATAAAAGTCGTACTTACAAGATGTAGTCGCTAGGCTAATATCGTCTATTCTCCGGGCGAATACCCATCTCTCGTGCTCCTCAGACCCCTTCGAAGTCGGACCCCCCGACGCCCCGATACGGCCCGAGCCCGACGCTGACACTGTACCTATGAAACAAACAAAAAATGGTGGTTTTCTATATATGTGTTCCAAAATGCGGCTTATCACTGGGACATTGGGTAAAGAACTAATGAATTATAACTTACTATTAGACCCTGCAGGTTAACCCTGAAAGGGTCCGGGTTTGGCAAGATTTGGAAATTGTTGGACCCTGACCTTGACCCTGATAGACCCTACCCTGAAATGCTGCAAGTCAACCCTGACCCTTGCTCTACCCTAGATTGACAATCACATGGTCAAGTAATCAGCAGATGAGATACCATAAGTATGAGACCAAGTTTAAGTACAGATAGAGGTGGCTTGAGAGTGCTATTATGTAATGAATAGACTTATAATTTTTTTTCCAAGTTTCAAGGGCTGAATGTGGGGTTTGGGATGCTAAGAGTCACAAATCAGTGGCCAGATATAATGGTAATCTACTGATAAGAAGGCTGAGTGTCAAACCCTGGGTTCAAGAAATATTTTTCTTTGCCTTTTAAACCTTTTATTTTGGCCCTGGTTGACAAGGCAAGACAAGAAGGAGATAAGATGGACAATAAGATGGTGATTGGATCATCAGATGTCGATGCTGATGTTGATTGACAGTGTGGAGTTAGACATGAGGCAGACAGCACAATGAAGGCATAGCTAAAGTATGATGTTATTGCCTCTCATATTAGGCATGGTAAACACATGGTAGTAGTGTATATAAGTAAAGTAGATTTTGTCTTGTACCCCAGTCTTCGAATTCCCTCATCTTTACAATATCTTTTCACAGTGCTTCTTGCTAGCCTTCACTGGCCAACTGGCATCCTTTGATTTGGTGTTGTTTGTGACACTGAGACTGTAAGTACAGTTTTATACATAACTGTCAGGGGAACCTCCCTTTCGGCCCCCCAAAGACGTCTCCGATTCCGGTCCGATTCTGGTTCCGACTCCAGTCTGACCCTCCATCTCGCCCGCACAATCACCGATCCGTCAACGCCCTTCCAACAGTCGCCCTGGGACCTTGCCTGCAATGCCGCCCAAGCCTTCTGTGCCTGACAGCAGCAGCTACAGACAAGCAGTATATAGTCAGCTACCTAGCAGGCGGACCCTCAGAGTTTCTTCTCTTTGGATCCTCCCCTGCTAGGTCAGCTCCATTTGTATTCGCTTACCAATGTTCACACTTTGAATCCTCCCCTGCTAGGACCTTGATCTCAGGCCTCCGGGTTTGCCCTTACAATAACATTGTAAATGATCATGTGATGTGACAGTCGTGACCAATCACCAGTCAGTGACTGGTCTGTGCACATAGCACTGTACTTGAGTAGTTGGCCATGGGGCTGTTTCCCTGGCTTTGTGAGGGGAAGAGGGTCCAAGTGCCAAGTTGATACCAGGGGAACAGTCCCAGGGCCAACTACTTAAGTACAGGGCTATCTGCACATGGACCAGTCATGTGATCAGTCACAGCTGGCACATCACATGATCCCCTTACAGGCTTTAGTGCACCTAGACCCTCTTCCCCTGGCAGGCTGGTGCTAAGGACTTAAGACAAAAACTAGTCCAGATTCTCAGACCAAAGGATTTGGTTCATCTTGATATCTGAAGCATATTAGACTAAATATATAAGCTAAACATTCACATTTATGTAAACATACATAATCACACTCAATTTGAAATTTAGAAGATGAATTCTAATTGCCAAACCCTGGGTTTAAGAAACCTATTTTTTTTACCTTTTAAACATTTTATTCTATCCCTGGTTGATAAGCTAAGACAAGGAGAACATGAGATAGACAATAAGATCATGATTGGATCATCAGATGTCAATGCTAATGATGATTGACAGCATGGAGTTGGACATATAAGGCAAACAGCATATTTGCAATCTGCCACAAAAAAGTCCAGCTTTAGGCTGCTTTTTTTTCACCAAAACCCCAATGTGACTGCAGTTTGCCTGGAAATAAGACATAATTTAGATATCTAATAATCCATTAGTCTAAATTAGTTTCTGTATATTAAAATTGAAGGCCATTAAAGAGTAATATGTGGGGATTATTTCATGCTATACCAGCTTTCTAGAATTGTGTCCTATACCTTCACAAATACTTATCTGCTTGCATTATTCTGTGTACTTGAACTAGTACTGAGCTCCACTGCTACTCTCATATTTGCATTGTGCATCAGATATAACTTTGATGTTTCAAGTTCCTTTTAGATTACAATAATACTACTATTTTTTTTGTACTATATACTATTAAATTATTAGGAGAGGATATGCATATACAGACTATGTAGAATAACTTATACATCTATATACATTACCACTGAGTTGCAAAGTTCTCTGACCTGGCTGCAAGTATCCAGGTAAATATTTGTTTACACAACAGATACATATAGTAATTGTAAATCTAGTATAAATTAATGCATATTCAACTTGGCATGTCTACTTATAGGAAAGTAGCTACAGTATATACAGAAGGTTTCTTAACCTAATTCATCTCTCTCTAGTCATAATTACTGTAGTGTAAAGATAAGAAGTCTAAGTATGTAAGTTTATCATATTTTCAAGTTTCTGTAAACAGGCATATAAAATCTCTAATAAGTTTGCCAAATATTATCATTAGGGTCCAATGAATCCTTTCTCTACAAACTTGCATTTTTATGAAGACAATACAGCTCTTGCAATGTAATTTTTCGATATAATTCTGATATAACCAGGTAAGCACATAATGGAAAATTTCCAAACTTGGGATATTTAGAGATATCATGAAAATATATCTACACACCAATTTTCATTTGAATCTACCATCATCTTATTGCACAGTAGCAGAATAAAGATTTTATATCATAGTGAAGTTGCAGATCACGAGTATCTAGCCCGAATTGGGTAGGCTTTAGGTCAAAATTTGGGTCCGAATTTTTGCCAAGGTTCCTGACTCTGATGGCTTACGAGCAGCTAAATTTTACGATCATTACATTCCATGACACAACTAGCTGACAAAGTACAGAGAGGCGGTGTATGTTGCTCCGAGGTTTCTACGAAGGTTTTTGGTCAGTGCCTTCGTGTTAGTTTGTCTTTGTTTGTCTGATCTACATTACATCATCATGTACAGTAGTCACCGGGCAGGGACCTTGCCAAAGCAAGGTTATCGTAGCTCCTGCCCAGCACCGAAGACATGAACTCCCTGCTGAATAGCCTACAAGCTGCTTAATACACACCCATTCAACCATCGACTGCGCATGACCATCGGTGTCCTCCAGCTCGAACTTGAAATATGATCAAGAGATGGACAGAAGTCATCCCTGTGGGCCTGGGATCATACCTGCTGCCGCGGCGAGACTGGTTTAGGATTCTTGAGTTTGGTTCCTCGTCAAATTCGGACTTATCACTTGTCATTCTCTGCGTAGACAATACTGCATACCAACATACAATTACATTTAATTCAGGATTCATCTAGCACAAACTCAGGCAGCAGGTGGCGCAAAGCGCACATCGCATCTGACATAGTTGTGGTACAACTCGTCGCTCGTGAGTAGCGTGTCCTCTCCGTCCTTGTTAGCAGGATCGAGGAATGCCGCTAGAGGCTAGAGTACAAATAAGCAATCAAGCGTGTCGCGGAAAGGTAGGGCCACATACGTCATGGAACTCAAGGAACGCAGCACCTGAGTTGGATTGAGTAGATGTCTTGGGAAAAAAAACTGCGGACAACGCACTTCCGGCTCCGTAAGAGTCTCCTTTGCCCCGTTCACCCGATCCGCCATGGATTTTCTTGCGCGCGCCTTTTGACGCGTCGGTCCAGGCAAACGAGTAGAACATGACGCCACCCTCTGTAGCAGCGGGGTGAGAATTGTTTGGTCAAGCTCGCAAGAGGGACACGCATACGATTGGAGTCGAAGACGAGTTTCAACCCTGATTTTGCGGAGCTTAGCTCCACAACAGGCTCGAGCCTCTGACTCTTGCTCTTCAGTAGGTCTCCCAGCAGATCAATTTCGCCGGACTCCAACACACTGACGGGCAGCCGAGTAGGAACGGTCTCGTATGCCTTCTGGCCAAACTTGTAGTAGTCGTCATAGCCCATTTTGGGGTATCCATCGCCGATGAGCTTAGCGCTGTGGTCGTGCACAGTGCCAGGGGAGGGCAAGAAGCCTATGGAAAGACTGTCTGAATCGCGGTTGGCAATGTGGGTGGACTTGATAGTCAGCGTGTGGGTCTTGACAGTGAGTGCATCGTCGCCTGTCTGATTCTCCTTCTGCGAGGCTTCCAGGTTGAAGCCCCAATGCTGGAAGGCGTGAGCATATACTGCGGGCAGCGATGGGCAGACCACACCTGAGTAAGATTGACCGGCGTAACAGCTTTCGTGGTCGATTTGAGTTTGGCGCGGTAGACGAGCACGACGCTCCCCAAATCGTACTCCTTTGCTCCCGACTCAGTCTCTTCAGGCGCAACAAGGGCGACAAGGGCCTCCGTAACCAGCGTTCCGGGAAATCCTTGGTCGCCATCAGGGGAAATGAGCCGGAAGAAGGCATGCGAGCCTCCTTCTTTCGCGACGTGAGCCAACTCTTTCTGGGTGAAGAGTGTTGGAGGGTCGGAAGCATTAAGCTGCGTCCACTCTACAGCATCGAAGCCTGTGGGTCCTCCATGGAGAGATACACGGCTGCCCTCTTTGAGAAATCAACGATTTGGCCAAGAAAACAAGATGCAGGGGGCGCACCGTTGAGGATAGCGGTCATCTCCCCGCTTACACCTTTCCTCTCGAACTTGTGTGTTCCCACTTCCACCCGGTTGGAGTACCGGCCAACGACAGAGTTGGTGTACTTCTGGAAGGCATGGTCGGCGGGTGATTCTGGCCCGATAACGATATCGTGTGTCTATTACGCTAGTCAAGCTAGGAGAGAGTGTTGGAATCGACGCACTCGACCGTCGGCCTGGACGATAAGGCGGTGGATCGTCAGCCCATGAGGAAGCACCTGGAAAACATCAGAGTTGATTTCAATCCGAGCTGAAAGCGCAATGAACTTCGAGGGCCAAGGCCGGAGTGAGGGACGAGAGGGTAAGTAAGACGGGGGTGTATTCGGAGCTCGACATGATGGTTGGTCCCAAGAGAACAAGCCACCCTGGCGGTGGTTTTGGAGCGGTCCATGGTCATGGGTTTCCGGGATTGATCCGGAGTGTCACCACACGTGATGTGACACTCGTGGTTCAGTCGCGTTTTAACGATTCGACGAAGAATGAGATTCAAGAGCGGAGACCCTGGGTCCTACGACTGTTACATGTGGCGCAATTTTAAGTCTCCCAGGCCCTCACACATTGGGGTTTTGGTGAAAAAAAGCGGCCGGAAGCTGGGCTTATTTGTGGCAGATACAGGCCCAAATAACTGGGGCCAATTGTTACGGCCCGGATTTGGGTGCACGTGACTCGGAAATCACCAAATAAGGTAATTTCCGAGTCACGTGGGCGGAAATCCGCGGCCTTAATTTAAATCCAATCGGCTGACCACATTTGGCGCCGGTTTTCCCACAAATAAGTCCTGCTTCGGGAGGACCCCCGAAAATACGGTGTTAACTTGGGTACAGATTCGGACACAATTGGGTCCAAAAGTGCCGATCACTTTGGCACCTCGTGCGGACAAATTTGGTCAAGAGTCGGTCCCAGTTTGTGACCAAGTCCGGACAAATTTGCCGGCCGCCAGAGCGGCGAAGCGGTGACGGACACCCGAACGTAGTCCCTCCGACCGGGTCTGCCATCAAACAGCAGCGCGTGCTTGCATGTCTGCGGAGTGGCCAGCAAACATCACGGAGGCTGCCCAACACATTGCTGGGTGCTTTTGGGCTGCCGGGGTTGTTGTTGTCGCTGTTTGCCAACACATATCGGGCACCGGCTACGGCTGGCCCGGTATCCCAGTTTGGGTCCTGTCAATGGGCAAGTTTGACAGCCGCCCAGCCCGGTTGCTCCGAGGGTCGCCCCCTGAGTCCCTCGTGGCCCCCTAGCCTAGTGGTTTTCGCTCGCTGCATCCTGCGACGATCTCTTGATCGATTTTCGCTGTTTCATGCGTTTCCGCCTGAATTCACGCGACGTTGATCCCATCAGCGATTTGATGCCGCCAGGAACTTTCATACATGTTCGGACAAATTGTGCCCAAATTTGGCCTCTTGTTCGGACAAAATTGGCCTTCGGAGGTATCAAAGTCCCAACCGTATTTTCGGGGGTCCTGCTTCGGGCCCCCGTTTTTGCGCAAATCCCCGATGTGTCAATCAAGTTGCGAAGACTAGATGTACTTATGATTATGATTATGCAACTGCATTTCGAAAGCAAAGTATTCCGGAAGAATCGGATGTACACTAGTCATCGATAAGGGTTTGTTTCCCGGGCCGCCGGCGACAATTAGCGGAGCCCCCGGGCCGGCCCGAAGAAAGAAAATTGAGACAAGACACGCTGAGGCTAACTTGAAGTTGAAGCTCCCAAGTCAGAACTTGGACCGGAACAGTTGAGATCTACTTATATCAATATTAGGCCAGGACAAAATCCAACTTGAAAGCTGTTACTTAATCAAGGTCATTAGCTCAATACTACGAGGTGTATTTTATGAAGGCATTTATCGCTGTTTAATCGAATGTTGGGATCAAAGTTGGAAGTTGGAAGTCTCAACTTTTGTGTGACATGCAGGGCAGGTGTAGTTGGTACTCAGAAGTTGAAGGCCATACAAATAGAAGTCTAACTATAATTCATTTTCACCTATAGTGCCCGCTTATCCCCTCTAGTTAGAGGGGCAAGGGGGGGGGGGGGGTTCTCCCTCTAACTAGAGGGGTTTAACGCGATTGCCTATGCTTTCTTAAACTTCCTTGTAAGTGTTAGTAGACATCCTGCTCAGCGGAGGCCCAAGTCCTCAGAGGTTAGTGGACTCATCATGAGTGTTGGTGACACCACACTCGCGGCTATCTTCCTCAGCCATCAAACCTCTTTCCAGCTGTGATCCCGACACTACCCGACCCCCGCCCACTGTCCCGATCTGATGGCGCATCAAAAGATCAAAGTTGTGTGCTTCATTTAGATAAGCCTAGATGTATCAATAAAAATTGAATATCTAAAATATTAAGGAAGATATAAGACTTTTGATCTAATGATCTGCGATCATAAAATCAAAATTGTAAAGAAGGTAATTCTAGCCAGTAATGTAAAGAAATCAAGTTGAAATTCATTCTCTCTAATAAAATATAGGCTTATGATGTATGTAATATGTTCACTGAAGTTAGTGGACAACATATGTATATAGATAGGTATATAGGAAGTTTCTGGACGTATATCCATACTATAGGTTATTATGACTATTCATATACCATATTGAAGCCCTTTCATAATGATTTCATTGTGTAGTTATCTACTAACTTTTCTAGACACGGGCTACAAGTTGGTAGACAGATGTCATATATAGTAGTAGGTAGGGTAGGTTCATATATGCTACTAAATGATCCAGATATTAGATACTAAATTTAATGAGGTATAATGAGATTATAGATTCTATAATGCCTTTCCCTCTCTAAAATACCATAGAAATAGCTACTGCCACTACTATGAGTATGCTTTCTTGAGTCCATAACTAACTCTATCATGCAGGCACTATATGTAGTAGCAGTTCATGAGATGTGGCATATCATAGTATCTTCACTGAAGGTGTCCACTAACTTCCTAGATACAGAAGTTAGTGGACACCCAGTCTATATTAATCAGTAGGTATAGGTTATGTACTCTACTAGATATCTTGGATATCATGTACAAGATGAGATATGATGATGTACTATCCCCACTGTATCATAGTGGCCCAACTTGGCTAGTGTGTCCACTAACTTCCAGGGTACAGAAGTTAGTGGACACTCAACTCAGTATATTAATCAGTATGTACAGAGATACCCTAGCAGATACCTTGAATATCATGTACATGATGATATATGATGGTGTACTATCCCCACTGTATCATAGTAGCCCAACTTGGCTACTGTGTCCACTAACTTCCAGGGTACAGAAGTTAGTGGACACTCAGTATATTAATTGGTCTATACTGGGGTATGTACCTGGCCAGATACTTGGTGTATAGGATAGTATATGGTTGTGTACTACGCTACTGTATCATAGTATCCCAACTGGAGGTGTCCACTAACTTCCTAGGTAAGGTGTCCACTAACTTCCATACCTAGGAAGTTAGTGGATACCTAGGAAGTTAGTGGACACCTCGGAAGTTAGTGGACACCTTACCTAGGAAGTTAGTGGACACCTCAGTATATTAATTGGTGTGTGGAGGGGTGTGTACTTTACCACATACCTTGGTATACAATTGGTGTACAGGATGGTATATGGCTGTATACTACCCACTGTATTATAGTATCCCAACTGGAGGTGTCCACTAACTTTAGTACCTAGTGTCCACTAACTTCCATACCCTAGAAGTTAGTGGACACCCAGTCTATATCAATTAGTATGTATAGGGTGTGTACTCTACCAAATACCTGGAATATGATGTACGGGATGATATATGGCGGTATACTCTCCCCACTGTATCATATGGCCCAACTTGGCTAGTGTGTCCACTAACTTCTATACCCCTAACTTCTATACCCCGGAAGTTAGTGGACACCGGCTGTATGCTTCAGGCTATATACATCTATTAAATCCTGTGAGTTTCTCCTGAGGATAAATATAGTATTGCTCACAATGACTTTTGAAAGTTAGTAGAACCAATTAGCAGTGCATAAATAATTCTGTAAAGCTCAAGATGTACTCTCAGGTTGGAAGTCCTAAGTGTATCATATACATCTAAGTCAATTGTGATTTTGTTGAGAAACTGGGTGCATGATTTTATTTGGAATTAGATTTGACCCAGTATTGCTCCTGTTATTGACCCATTGATGTGCAATGATATTTTTTTAGTGGACGCTAAACTAATTACTAGCGATCCGGTCGCGGAACTCGTTCACCGACTCCATGGCGGAACGGACTCTGGGTTCGAAGCCCATGCGCGGCAGCCGTCCCGTGTCCGTCATGAAGGGGACCTGCTGCGTGGAGGAGTGAACATGGTTGTTGTAGGCGAACTCCGCGGCCGGAATCAGCTCATCCCAGTCGTCCTGCTGATAGTTGGTGAAGATCCGCAGGTACTGCTCTAACTCCTGGTTGACGCGCTCTGTCTGACTGTCCGTCTGTGGATGATACACGGTGGACGTGGCAGGCTTGATGCCGATTAGACGCCAAAGTTCTCGGGTGAAGTCTACGATGAACTGTGAGCCGCGGTAGGCAGCTGCTATAGCTACTTCTATGCAAAAGATGTGGACAATTGTCCATGGGTATAATGCAAAAGATGTGGACAATGGCTTTTAAGTTACAAATATTACATTTATTGAAAGAGTAATTAATTATTTGAGAGGCTTGTAGAGCCCTATTAGTGATGGGATCAATGCCTTTTATATATTGTTTATAATGTGGAACCATTTTTCATAGAGATCAATTGTTTTGATGATTGGATGGTGTTACATCAATGTGACATGTGATTACATCAATTTCCTTGCCCTGTATTGCAGACTGTTCCAAACTATATTACGAATCATCGGCCTGAAGAAAAGGTGATTTCTATTGCCATATATGGTATTAGCTTAGTCATATCTATCAATTTGGCTCTTTAATTTAACATTTACTTTCCAGGCTTGTGACTCCTGGACAACTGTCCACATCTTTTGCATTACAGCTGTGGACAACTGTCCATATCTTTCCTGAAAGATGGGGTATATGGGGTGCGACTTCATCGTAGAGCTTCCCGAAGCCCATGGGTACGACGCGATCATGGTCGTCGTTGACACCCTCGGAAAGCGCGCCCACTTCTCGGAGTGTCATACAACGGTCGATGCAGTAGGAGCAGCCCGCCTCTACTACCGGAACGTCTGGCGCATGGGACTCCGGAGAAGTACGTCTCCTACCGCACCCCATATACCCCATCTTTCAGGAAAGATATGGACAGTTGTCCACAGCTGTAATGCAAAAGATGTGGACAGTTGTCCAGGAGTCACAAGCCTGGAAAGTAAATGTTAAATTAAAGAGCCAAATTGATAGATATGACTAAGCTAATACCATATATGGCAATAGAAATCACCTTTTCTTCAGGCCGATGATTCGTAATATAGTTTGGAACAGTCTGCAATACAGGGCAAGGAAATTGATGTAATCACATGTCACATTGATGTAACACCATCCAATCATCAAAACAATTGATCTCTATGAAAAATGGTTCCACATTATAAACAATATATAAAAGGCATTGATCCCATCACTAATAGGGCTCTACAAGCCTCTCAAATAATTAATTACTCTTTCAATAAATGTAATATTTGTAACTTGAAAGCCATTGTCCACATCTTTTGCATTATACCCATGGACAATTGTCCACATCTTTTGCATAGAAGTAGCTATAGCAGCTGCTTATGGTCAGTCCAAATCTCAACAGGGTGCGCGGCGCCCTTGAGGAAGTGTCTATACTCCTCGAGTGCGCGGATGATCGCGAGCATCTCCTTGTCGTGGATTTCGTACTTGCGCTGGACATCATTTAAGCTTTTGGAATAGAATACTACAGGGTGCCACTTCCTGTCCGGGGCAGATTGTGAAAGAACCGCCCCCATCGCATAATCAGAGCTGTCCACCTCCAGTCGGAAGGGCTGTGCGTCGTCCGGAATCGCCAGAACTGGTTCTGAGGTGACCGCGTCCTTGATCGCTTGGAACGCGGAGGCCTCTGCGTCGCCCCAAGTCCATTGCTGCTCCTTCTTGGTGAGCACGAAAAGTGGGCGCACAAGGGTCGAGAAGTCCCGAATGAACCTGCGGTAGAAATTAGCAAACCCAAGGAACTGCTGAATGTCCTTCTTGTTTTCCGGAGTCGGCCAAGCGGAGATGCCTGCGACCTTGACGGGGTCCATTTCGACGTAGTTGTGGGAGATGATGACTCCGAGGTACTCGATTGACGATTTTTCAAAGTCGCACTTCTCCGCTCAAAGGTACAACTTGTGCTCTCAGAGTCGCCGTAAGACCTCCTAAATGATCTGCTGGTGTTTCTGGAGGTCGGAATAGGCAATTAGGATGTCGTCAAGGTAGATCATGACATCTCCGGAGAGGATGAGGTCCTGAAAAATGTCGTTCATCATTGTTTGGAACGTTGCGGGAGAGTTTGTTAGGCCGAAATACATCACCAAGGGCCCAAACAGGCCTCGGTTAGTCCGGAAAGCCGCTTTCTACTCGTCACCTTCCTTGATCCGGAAGCCCCAACGGACATCGAGTTTGGTAAGATAACGAGCGCCTTCGAACCCAGGATGTGCACCCAGTTTTACTAATAAAACTGTGGCTACTGGTGAAGGGCTGTACTCATAAAACCTGGGGGAGCTCATGCCAGCCATGGCCGGAGTATTGTGACAAAAAATGTGACATTCAATCAATTGTGAATATCTCAATGAGTTTGACAGCTATGACTAAGCTATTACCAGATATGGAAAGGCAAATCACTATTTTTTCAGGCCGAAGACCCGGATAAACATCTAGGTAGACCTGTGATCTAGGGCAAAGGTATACATCCTAATTAGGCTAAAATTGATGTATCCTGACATAGCTATCAATGATACTGATGTCCATCAAAAATCGTTCCACAATGATCACCTTATCTTAATGCCATCAATCCCATCATCAATATTATGATCTAACACCCAAAAATGAATAAAATGGTTTTTTAAAAAAAGTGTGACATTTGTGACCCTTGAGCCCTTCCCCAGGTTCTATGAGTACAGCCCTTCACCAGTAGCCACGTCTTTATTGGTATTCCTGAGTGAATGAGCTGTTGAGCTGGTTGATGAGGTCGTTGATCAGCAGAAGGGGATACTGGTTTTTGACGGTCATCACGTTGAGAGCACGGTAGTCCTGGACAAAGCGGAGTCCGCCATCCTTCTTCTTGACAAAGAGGACCGGAGATGCCATTGGAGACTTGGAGGGGCGAATCCGGCCCATTGACAGCTCCTCCTCAATGAACGCGTCGAGCTCGCGTTGCTCAAGGGGCGAGATGGGGTACACCTTACGGTTGGTGGGCTTAGCGTTGGGGACAAGTTCGAGGGCGTGGTCCCAGGCTCTCCGTTCCGGTAGCGTGTCGAAGGACTCCTTGTTGAAGACGTCCTGGAACTCCTTAGGCCAGTCCGGGATCTCAGAGGGCGGAGGGGCGGAGTTCCTGGCAAAGGCTTCAGCCAGGCGCTGTGAGACGGTGCTGCCTGCGCGTATCTCTTCCGAGGGATGGAACGAGGTGTAGAAGATGCGGTCACCATCTTCGAGCTGGTCGTCTTCGTCATCCGAGTCCGAGTCCGGTGTCAGATCAGGCAGGTCGGAATTGAGACCAGAATTGGAATCGTCTCCGTTCTCGGGGCCAGAGAGGTCCATAGTGCAAACCGAGGGGAATGGACCAGAGCTGTTCTGTTCCGGGTGCGCGCTCTTAGGAGAAGACCTTGCATGGCCCAACCCGCAGTCTGACAGGTAGCAGCATCGAAGAGGAAGGATAAGATGGAAGACTGACTGTGACATGCTGTCAAATAGCTTTTTGATCTGCGGTCGGATGATGAACCGCAATTGTATTCCACCCATTTTAGGTTTTTATATTTGCAGGCGGAAATTAAATAATAAAATAAATGTATAATGCATAATTATATTGTGATTTGAACACAGGTTATAATATACTAATAATACAGAGTAGCAATAAATATCAAATCCTACTGAACTGCAAAAAAAACATCAGTTATATGAACCCTGCATAATAGGTTACCTGTGATATTGACTAATGATATTCAAATCGAATAAATATCCACCAATATATGACTAATACATTGAATAGGGAATCCTGTACAAAGACTTCTAAAGGAATAGTAAATTACGGAAAACCTGTTATTTTACAATGGATACAGGTATGATTAGGGCGTTTCATGACCTGTTTTTGGGGTGACTTCTGTCGCAAGCTGTTCAGCAACTCAAAGCAGGAAGCGAAGCAGGAGAAACGGGCCAAGGCACCAACGGGCAAGAACGGCACGCTGCAGTCCTACGGTCTAGTGGCTGAGTATGTCTACGTTGGGGAGGGGTCAGACGGCGTGGCGCAGGAGTGGAAGGACAAGTATATCAAGAATCCGCCGCAATTCGCCAAGTCGTTGCAGCAGCTCTTCTCGTGGTGCGTTAAACGTGACCGTGCCTTGCTTCTTCAAGTTCTCACTCCCCGATCAGCCTCAAAACTTCCTACACTTCGCACGTCAAGTCGCTCAAGGTAACGGGCAATGGGGTGCTGCCGGGCAGCCAGTATGAGAACAAAATTGGTGTGTGTATCAACACCTTTCATATTGAGCTCCGCTGACATCAACTCAAGAGCAAATCCGTGCTGAATTCCCGCACTGGGATGACCTTCATGGCTTCTGGGAGAAAATCCCAAGCTACAACCCCATTGGCGTCACCAACTCAACCCATGGAAAGGATCACGCTGCCACAGGCGAGGATGTCCTGCTTACACGTACAACAAACAGCCAGGCTGTGTCCGACTACAATGAGGACGACCTTGACCTCGACACTCAGAACACCAGCGATATCGAAGACACCTATGTCGCCAACGAGACCAGTCTGATAGAGCTCAGGTGAGTGGTGATATATTCATCTGGTAGTGCGCGGCTGACCTTATAAACAGCAACAACAATGATGGTGAGCCCTCCGTGCTCAAGTCCCCCAAGAAGGAAGTCAAGCCTGACATCAAACCAGCCGTGCACAAGGTCCGTCATGCCAGCGAATTACTTTTGTCGTTGCCTGATGTGCTGGTAGCCCAAGAAGGGAAAGCACAGCAAGCCTAATGCGCCCTGAGGCACCAAGCGCAAATTCGATGTTGATGAGCTGGATGCTGCTCATAAGGATGAACTCGCGGATGCACGGAAACACCATGAGCTCAAGGCCAAGATTGAGCTTGCTCGCTTGAATGCGGCCTCTGAGAAGGTGAAGACTCAGCGAGTCAAGATGCAGCTCGAGATGCAGCGCAACCAGGCTGACAATGAGCGCCAGAACCGCATCATCGACTACGCACTCGGACAGGCGGGACCATCCAACTTTGGCCATGGAGTCGGCAGCTCCAACACGTCCACAGCATCGGATGACTTTGGCTTTGGCGGGCTCAACGGCCTCAACGGCTTCAGCGGCTTTGGTAACAGTATATAACAGGCATATATAGATATGTAGAGCTGGAGAAAATAGATATATGATTACTTATGGAACGATGCCGCCTGCGAATAAAGCCTCCTTGAGTTTGCGTCGCTTTTTCTGGCCAGGAGTCTCCCGATGGGGCTGCTGCTCGCGACCAGCACCATCCTCCAGGTCCGATTCTTCCTCAATGACCCCCCTGAATCACCTCATACTGCCACTCCCTGTGTCCTCCTGCTTGATGTCCTGCACGAGTGTGTGGATGATAATGCATGTGTGTATCCATTTGACAGCCCAGAGATGGTCGCGGCGGTTCTTGATTTGTTGACAGAGCCCACGAAGCAACTGGAAGCGGCATTTGAGAAAGCTCACAGCGTGCTCAGAGCAAATGCGGACTTGTGAATTGGATTAGTCCAGACTCTCAAGGCCAACGACGACGCACGCACTGCGGAGACATAGTAATTAAACCTCCGGTTCTCCGGCTCGAGGGTGGCAGGCTTCTTGTATGGTGTGATGCACCATGGGACCAGCATGTATGCCGAATCGGCCCAAATCCATTCTCCTGGAGCGAGCAGCTCGGCGCGGTTCTGCGAAACGCGTGACTCGGCAAAGGCGGAGGCATTGTGCATGCTGCCAACAGGGCCAATAACGTAGTCGACGATGCGCAAATTGGGAAGGTTGATGAGCTACATTGTGTTAGAGTAATGAACAAAAAGTGAGCAATAATGGTGACATACCTGAACGTTGAGCGAGTAGTTGGACTTGCGGTCGAAGTATGCCTTGCCATGGTGGCCTGGCTTGTCTGACAATGGGACAAGTGTCCGGTCGAACATGAGCTACCCATCCCGCCATGCCTCACACGAGTGGTCCTCGACCCACTGCTTCGCCTCCTCCTTCGCCCTTGCGTCCGGCCACTGGATTGCCTGGTCGTGTATTGCGAGAAACACAATCATGACATGATGCATTGCATTAACGACAGTGCCCACTGCTGTTCCTGCCCACTGTGCCACCGACTTGACAGAGGCTGCGTTGCCGAAATGGCCAAGTCGGAAGAGGGTGATGGCTAGCTAGTGCTCGGCGGGAAGCTGGGGGTTGTTGCCGCCGTGGAAGATGGAATGGCTGTCGATTTTGGCCAGCAGGCAGTCGAAGGTGTCTAGGAGGACGCGCAGGTTGTGTCGGAAGCATGGAGGGTTGTCGTTCTTGAAAAGACGGAGTACGAGGTCGAGTTGGGACCGTTTGGAAACGGTGTGGGGAAAGAGGACGCACGTGGAGGTAAGCAAGTTGACGTGTTCACGAAGAGCAGCGTACTGTGACGTGTACTGGTGCTCAATCTGTTCCTCCTTGTCGGTCGATGGGTTGGCAGACTCGGACCCGGACCCGTCCACCTCCATGGATGAAACCGATGAAACCGAACTCATCTCCTCGCCCTCATCATCGGCCTCATCCTCTGAGTCTCCCTCCAACAATGGCGGCATGGGGTCATTCACGTCAGCCACGATGGCTAGATGCTCACAGCGTTGAGCACCTAGGTGGTCCGCGTAGGTTGCAGCAGAGTGGAGAAGGTGCTGGCGAATGGGCAGCGTGGGCATGATGGTGGGGTGAGGAAAGAGACGATGAGACGGGGCCTGCCATTTGGCTCAGGACAGAAAAACAATGGCTGTTTTTCGCAAGTGGGGTTTCACGTTCACATGTTTTTTTGCTCATTTTTTGTGACACTCTTGGCAAAAAGACAACAAAAATTTGATTCAAAAAACACCCGAAAAACGGGTTGTGAAATGCCCTAATATGCCACACCAGAAATCCAAAATAAACAGGTCTGATCACTCTTATTCTGTAAATCTTAGATTGACTATCTGCTCTTATTCTTCTTTCTTTCTGTCTTTTGTCATGTAATGCTATAATATTGAATAGATATGAGTATATAACTTTCTGTCATCTCAGTCTATACTCACAATTCTTTTTTCTTTTTCTTCTAAAGCACCTACCAATTCCACTTATCCTTTCATATTAGAATGAACGGCCCGCTGGGCTGCACATTCTAATATGAAGGGATGACCCCAAATGCCCTATGCTGCAATAAATACCCCAATAATTCTGCAACATCTCTAAGTTCTCAAGTCCCTCAGCGCTAAGTCCCTGCTACGCTGCTAATGCTGCAATAATCTACTGCTATCTAATTTAGTTTCCTAAATTGGCAAATATGACATAAATAGTGATAATAGTCACACTTTCTCTACTTAAGTAACAACTTGAAAGTATACTGTATGAGAAGGTCAGATCCTATTGTCCTGGTCATAATGTCACATAGTATAAGTATAACATGTGTGACAAAATCCTTAAAAATGAAACTTTGTCAGTTGATAATTATGAATAAGTTGTGTACTGTAGGACACAAACAACCAGATGTGACACTGGTATGTGATGCCATAAAGAAGCTATTATATAATCCTATCCCAACTTAGGTCGAAGACAGTTCCTTGCTCATGCTGCTACATTTGTCACATAGTGTGACAAACTTCCAAAAAGGAATTTTTTGCTGTTTGACAGATCAGTGAATGTCACAGATCGTCACTAATCAAAGCTGTGTATCTTGACTATATAAATAACCTGCATTGAATGACTTATTGTCCCACTTGAATAATTGTGCTAGCACTAGCCAATCATTAGCTGATCTATATCTGATCTAGTAATATCTTTTGAAGTACACAACCTACATAAGTCATTGAAGCACTATCAATGGTACCTGAATGATAAGATTAATATCCTTGATAATGAAATCTTATCAATATACCTATATCATCTCATGATGATTTATCACATGCATTGATGCTGCAATATCTCCACCAAGTCTGCATGAATTCAGATGATTGCGGTCCTACTAGGTAGCCAGTTATCAAGGCTTGAGATGTCCTGATGTGCTTATAGTTCTATGGGTTGAGGTCATAATATTATACCGGTTTTTTTCTAGGTTTCATATTTTAAATTTAACCAGACACAATGATTCCTTGATATCTTGCTGAGGAATCCACGGATAAACATGATTCAAGTTGCATTATGGTCTAATAAATGTCTATCTCAGATCTAGTAGCTCCCATAATTTTAGGTATCATTTCTACTAGGATATATAACATATATCCTATTAGACCAATCTCCCGATAACTCACTGAGAAGTAAGAGGTCCCCAATGGAATAAGGGTAGGAAGCATACAGAGGGGTCCCCCAATGAGATTAAATTCTCACACTACTTTATATGCATTGAAAATCTTATTATTCCCTATTATACTAATGAATAGTACTACTACACATCATACTGGCAATACAGCCATGATCTACTAGTTGATTATGGATAACAATATATCAAGTTCAGTCAATAAGGTATATATAGATACCCACATACTCTGATTGGTCTCTATATATTCTTAGAAGATAAATTAAGGTGAACATTCCAAAACAGGTTGAGTGCAGAACTGGTTTACATGAATAGTGGGGTCTATAGACTAAGTACCGGACAATGAGATGCATGTATGGGGGTATTTGGATGTCTACTAGCACCCTGTACTGTGATCAGTTGTGGTTCTGGCATGTGTTACAGCAGGTAGCTGAAGAGAGGGTAGGTCCCTATAGAGCAAAAGAGAGTGTCTTCGCTATTACAACTGGTCAGAAATTAATTTCAAGTATGATCTAAGACATGAATATAGGATTGTATGGACCTTCAAATGAACCTGTCCAGCACTTGAATCAACCCCATAGCTATTCTGGATCTCTTACAGTACCATTATCAGTGTTATCTATCCCAAAAATGATGAGTTCACTATATGATAGCCTTTGTGAATCTCACTGATTTGAGTACATATACTGGTAGGGGTATCATGCACCTCTCAGGAAATGTTGCCCCCACCCTTTTGGCATATCTCTATCCTGTGTTATATAGCACCTAAGGTCCCTGGGAATTGAATCACCCTCAAACTTGCTGTGGACGTAGAAATGGGTAGAAGTGTGGGGGACTATCACATGGCATTATATGAACTTAAATCATAAGATTCTATGCATTTAGTCCCAGGATATCAGCAAAATACTGCTCAATTTGGTATTCAGGCATGCTTCGCAGTAAATAGATCAAGGTAATGGCAACATAAAATATAGCTGGTGAGGCTCAAGGATAGTAGGAAGATATACCTTTCAAATAAACTCCTTCCCAGCTTTATTCACCAAAGATAGCTAGAGATATATGCTCATCTTTCAACGCTGATGGAGATCAAAGGCCACTGATGGGTCAATGCATTGCATTCTCAGTGCCATATTCACTGGGAGTTGAGTGAATACACACCAGAGGCTCACATTGGAGTAGCCAAACTCACAACTTAGCTACCTTATATTTTTTAAGTACTAGATATTCTTTTTTTAATGACTTAATAGTTAATATGGTATTCATATCAGATGATAACGATCGAAATACCTTATCAATCAATAGTACTTTTGAGACCCCTCCTCCTAGTACTTCATTCATGCATTTGGCTCAAGCAGCTATGGAGATAGAGGCCTATCAGACCTAGTGATGTATCAGTGCTAACACATTTATTGAGCTGCCACAATAGGTTATTTAATGAAAGTTTTTTATATAGTCAAAATATACAACTTTGATTTTGTGACAATATGTGACATTCTCTGATGATTCTGCTGTTCAACTCCAAAAAAATCCTTTTTGAGAGATATGTCACACTTGTGAAGTTGTATACTGTTATATAACAGCATATATATATAGCTGAAACCAGCCTTTGATCACCAATATGTATGGTATAATATAGAGCGTATAAAACAAATAAATGTCACAAACTTATCAACTGACAAAGTTTCCTTTTTTAGAGTTTGTCACACTTGTCATACTATGTGACACTGTCTTTAAGGTACCATCTAACCTTCTCATATAGTATACTTTGAAGTTTTAGCTTACATGTGACTAATCATCACTATTATGTCATACTTGCTAATTTAGGAAACTAACTTAGATAGCAGTAGATTATTGCAGCATTAGCAGCGTAGCAGGGACTTAGCGCTGAGGGACTTGAGAACTTAGAGATGTTGCAGAATTATTGGGGTATTTATTGCAGCATAGGGCATTTGGGGTCATCCCTTCATATTAGAATGTGCAGCCCAGCGGGCCGTTCATTCTAATATGAAAGGATAAGCGGAATTGGTAGGTGTTCTAAAGGTATTTATCAACCAAAAGATATGTCCCCCATGGAATTTGAACCATAGATCTGATGAGATCACACCATCACTGTTGAGCACAACAATGCCAAATCGGGACGGCTGAAAAAAAAAAACGCCTTTCAGCATAACTTACTACTAAACTAGACAGGGCTGGGGCTACGCCCCAGCTTTGAACTTGAATGTTGCTTGAATAACATGAATTTCTGAATTAAGAACATTGCCACTAACCACAGAATGGCACATAGATACCCAATGGCCTTCTTAAATATCTGTTGCTATTATATGTTAAGTGCAACCCAAGTCACTAAACTGTATGTACTTATTTCTCAATTTGTGGGTGATTTGAGAATATCTACTTGTAGATAACCTTAGATACAACTTGTTTACAGTACTGGGTGCAAGACATCACTTACAGCTTTGCATCCCAATTGGGATTGGTCACATTTTACAGCTTTTCTCACCAATTTGGGACTTTAACAGCAGTAACCCCAAAAATGGAAGTGTGGAGCAAATCAATTGTCAAGGCTAGCGCCAAACATGTGCATACATTCACACGACATCTGCTTAATATAAGAGTAATATGAAAGCTCAGTAACAAGTAACAATAGCTGATATTCACAGGAGACTAACCTAAAGGTTCATCAATAAAGAATTATTGCACTTTGTAAATGCTACCTTGCACTTGCAAGTAATACTTGGTAAGAAAAACTTATCACTCAGGTATACCTAACACATTCCTAATCGGGGTTTCCTATAGAAGCAAGGGTTTTGGCTCCCACTTGTTGTCTGGTGGTAAAATAAACTGAACCCTGTTTTGCTAGGGGCTTGTAGCGGGTTTGTCGGCATTTGTTGGCATCATCAAACCAACACTTTTTACACATTCATCCCGCATTATGTAATTGAAGTTGGAGCCAGTGAGGGTAGAGGGACGACTGACCAGCCGCGACGTCGACCGTCACGGTCCACTTGTGTGCGGTCTCCTTCGTGCTGCCAAAGTCGTCGGTTATGGTGGAGAGAATGTGCTATTATAATAGGAAAGTGTGTCAGCTCGAAACAAGTTGAAGGTTATGAGGAGCAGTGTTATGATCCATCGTTCTGAACGATGGGATGGGTATTCAGTTCTGCCCCTGCGCTGCGGGTGAGTTGTACCTCCCAAGAACTTGAAGCTGTTCACGCAAGGTTCACGCGGACTTGGTGCTAACATCTGGGAGCATCTGGGTCACTACAGCTTTTAAAAATGAATCACCCCCCGATTGTAGACAGAAAAACGACAGCAATGTGATAGTAGCAGGACATAAGCATCATTAACCACTTCAAGTTTGGTTAAATCAACGACTTGTAAAACACAAAATACGACGTACTCGATATATGCCATCGT